CGTCCGCGTACACGAGCTCCCTCGCAAACTGGTTTTCAGGTATCAGTCCGGCACGACTCTGCTGAAGCAGCGCGTGCGCGTCCGTGAGAAGCGTCGTCATCACAATGGTGAACAGAAAAGGGGACAGCGGACAGCCTTGGCATATGCCGTACCTCTGCTGATGGATGCTGGACGTGGCCCCGAAGTCCCTCACGACGAACTCGCGCTCGCTGTAAATCGACACGACGACGTCCACGAAAACTTCTGGGCAACCAAATCTCCGCAAAGACCCGGCGAGCGCGTCCGGCGAGACCGAGTCGAATGCCTTGGCCCAGTCGAGTGCCAGGAACAAGCGACTTGCATCTCTTGTTGACCATGTGTCGTCCAGCACCCGGCGGGCTAGGAACACTGCGTCTGCCGTGCCCCGCCCGGAGCGGAACCCGAATTGGGTTCGCCAGATGCGGTCTTCGGCCCCCGCCTGCTTCAGCCTCTGGAGCAGGATGGTTGCGAACAATTTGTAGCCGATGGGCGAGATACTGATGGGGCGGTAGTTCTCGCATTCTGCAGGGTCGCCCTTCTTGAACAGCATCGACACCCTCGCATGCCTCCAAGCTTCTGGGATCTTACCTTGTCTCCAAACGTCGGTGTAGAATTTTGCCAGATAGCTCGGGAGACCTCCCGCGTCGCTCGCCGCTGCTTTCCAGAATTCGGGTGGCACCCCGTCAAGGCCAGAAGCGCGTCCTCGCTTCAATTTCGCAGCTGCGGCCTTCACCTCCCCCACTGTGATATCACCCATGGAGATGGGCAGGTCGTTGTCGGCAATCCGTGCAGCAACTGGCGGTGCCACTGACGTGGGTCTGACTGCCCACTGCACCCTCTCGAGGTAGTCGGCCAGAGTCTCAGCACGCTGGTCCGTCTCCACAATGCCCTTGTTGACGTCACGAAGCCTGCCCTGTCTGCGGACAGGGCCTTTCCGGAGCCTCCTAATCTGATTCCAATCAGCGGATTCCGTGACCGATTCGATCCAAGCGGCCTTGTCCCTGGCAACCGAAGCGCGGATTTTCTTCGACAGGCGCTTCTCCTCGTCAGTGTCGCCCTGCCTTCTGGCGCTCCCACGGCGCTCGATCAGCCCCAGCGTTCCGGCGCTCGTCCACGGCCTTGTGGTCCGCCTCGGAAGGAATGGCAACGTGCGTTCGGCAGCGTGATGAAAACCGTCCACGATACGACTCCAACCAAGATCGACATCCTCGCCTCCAGCTGCTGTGTCCTCGAAGCCCTCCAAAGCATTCAACATGTTCACGTTGAAAAAACAAGCGGCGAGTGGGTCGGAGAGGGCTGTGACATCAAGGCGTGGACTCTGACTCGCAGGCGCCGTCTTCTCAACTGACATACGGACGCACGCAGTCAACAAGAAATGATGGGTCGACAACGGCACGTCGTGCCTAGCAGCCACGCCAGTGATGTCCTGGAGAAAAGTCCTCTCGCAGAGTGCGAAATCGATCTGCGAGTGCGTCGAGGATCCAATTTGTAGCCCGGCAGGCGTACCCACGTTGTAGTTAGTGACAAGGTTGTGATCCGGCACGTCAAAAAATGTGTTTGCAACGCACATGCTCAGATTCTCGCACATCTCAACCATGAGGTGGTGCCGGTTGGCGTTTTCCTTGCACGTCTGGTGGGGGTGTTTGAAAATATAGGGCCCCACCGCGTCACTCTCTCCATCGAGTTGGCCATACAACTTTGCATTCATGTCTCCTAACACAAGCTTGGGTCCATGAGCGGATCTTGTGGAAACGAATTCTGACAAGCTCGTGAAGAAGTCAAACCGCCGCCGGAACTCGTAACCGCTGTGCGGCGCGTATGCAGAGAAAATAACAGCTTTACCTCCTGGGATCCGAAGCTTGAGCGATGCCATGCGGTCCGTCGCCTGGCAAAATCCAACCACAGAGTGCCTGAAACTTGGATGTACGATGAAGCCCACTCCAGCCCGCTCGTCCTCTGGGTCTCCCGCGCCGCCGGAAAGGACAACGAGGTAGCCGGAATCCGTGACGTACGTGATAGATTTTGATGTCCATGTCTCCTGTAGGCACAAGATCTTGATATGTAATTTATCCATTATGGATTCTAGCTCAATTTGTTTCGAGTCTGTATGCCCTTCGATGTTCCAAGATGCAATGTTGAATTCGTCAGCCGTGGCAGGGCGTAAACGACCACCCCGAGCCGCAGAAAGTGACAACTTGGCTTGGCCAGCTGGATGTCCACATACTGCAGGTGAAACGTCATTGCTCACGCACAGTTGGCGCCCCTACTTGCTGCCCTTGGCGGCAGCCTTCCCTTTCCCCTTCCCTTTCCCGAGGCCTTTGGACGGGATCTTGCCGAGCTTGGCGTTGAGGTTCGCGACCAAGTCCTGGAAGTTGGTGTAGCCGTCCTGCTTGAACCATTCCTCCCAGCCCGTGCCAAAATCGGTCTCAAACTTGTTGCCCACGATCCTCCCGCTCACCGCCACATCGGCACCAACCCACACCGTGCCCTCCGGGTCCGCCCAGACGCTCTCGGCCGTGAAGCCCCACTGCTTGAGAAGGTGTTTGACGCTAAACGCGAAAGACGTGAGGATGCGCTTGGGGAGAACCATGTCCCTCTTTGCCCAAATATCGTTCCCGCCCTCCTTGAGAGAGGCCTGGCGGAGGAGTTTCACGGCAGTGTCCCTGTCAGCACGGCTCCTGAATCGAACGAAGATGAGACCACGAAACTCCCTTTTAGAGTACACCTCTGCCGGCTGCGGCCCGTAGAGGTCCCACATGTTCGCCTCTATCCACTTCTTCGCGTTCTCCGTGCTGCCGATCGTCTGAAGGCCACCGACCACCGCAGTGTACTCCTCGTATTGGTTCCCATTGCTCTTCTGCGTGTTGTCCATCAGCTTGAGCTCCGAGATCTGGGCCTCCAGCATCTTCAACTGTTCTCGCACTTCTGCATCTGTCCGGGAACCCGCCGAACTGGTTTCCAAGTGCGTCAGGCGCGCGTCCATGTTCTCCATCTTGCTCTCTACCTCCGTCATCCTCTCCTCCATGGTCCCTCCGATCTCTGTCACTTTGCGCTCTAAGCCCTCCACCGCCTTCCGAAGTGGCTGCACCTCCTGCTTCAAAAGGTTCGCGATCTGCTGGAGCGTTGGCGGCTGCGCCGCTGCCTCCTCCGGAGTGCCCGGTGCCATTGGCGAAGATATCTGATGTACCTCCGGGCGCGGCGGGGACAAGTCGAGGTCGTCATCCATCTCGTGGAGGGGGCTAAACAAGCGGCGACGAACGTCTCGGGTGAGAGTTTCGGCAACTGGTGTTCCTGGCCCACGCGTCATCGGAAGGTACGGGTATGGGAATGGAAAATGGGAAATGTTGGAATAGGAAGAATTGGAGAGTAATCGGAATGGAAAATGGGAAATGTTGGACTTGCCCTTGAGCCAATTCGTTGTTGTGAGGTGCTCGTTAATTTTTCGTTGCGCGCCTCAGATAGCCAGCCATGCCTCGGCCCATGCCATCTTGGACGTGTTGGCAATAGTACGTAGCACCCCGCAATTGCGGATAAGAGTGAGGGGGCGGGCGCGGGCGACGCGGGCGTCGTCAAGCCGGCGGACCTCGTGGCCCCCACCTTCCCTGTCGATGGCGCTCTCCTCCTCCTCCTCCTCCTCCTCCTCCTCCTCCTCCGCCTCCTCCTCCTCTTCCTCGTCCTCGTCCTCGTCCTCATCGTCATCGTCGTCCTCCTCCTCCACCTCGTCCTCCTCCTCCTCCTCCGCTTCTTCCTCGTCCTCCCTCTGCCCCCCTCGTCCTTCCATCATCGTCCTCCCATTGTCGTCATGTTCCTCCTCGTCGTCCTCCTCCTCTTCCCCCCCTCCCGATCCTCCCCCCTCCTCCTTTTCGTCGTCGTCGTCGTCGACGTCGTCGTCGTCCCCTTCCTCGTCCTCCTCCTCCTCCTCCTCCTCCTCCTCCTCCTCCTCCTCCTCCTCCTCCTCCTCATCCTCATCCTCATCCTCATCCTCCTTCTCCTCCTCGTCCTCCTGCAAAAGCAGCCCGCCGCAGGCGCCGAAAAATTTGGTTTGTACACTGAACGTGGTTTGGGTCGCGGGTGGGCCGCGGGTTCTCCACCGGGAACGAATGCAAAAGATGCCCGCCGCAGGCGCCGAAAAATGTAGTTTGTACCCTGAACGTGGTCGCGGGTGGGCCGCGGTCTCTCCACCTAGAACAAATGCAAAAGATGCCCGCCGCAGGCACCGAAAAATGTGGTTTGTACCCTGAACGTGGTTTGGGTCGCGGGTTGGTCGCGAGTTGATCGCGGGGTGGGTCGCGGGCTCTCCACCTGGAAGGAATGCAAAAAAAGCCCGCCGCAGGCGCCGAAAATGTTGGTTTGTACCTTGAACGTGGTTTGGGTCGAAGGTGGGTCGCGGGTGGGTCGCGGGGTGGTCGCGGGTGGGTCGCGGGTGGGTCGCGGGTGGGTCGCGGGCGGGTCGCGGGTGGGTCGCGGGGTGGGCCGCGGGCGGGTCGCGGGGTGGGTCGCGGGTGGGTCGCGGGTGGGTCGCGGGTGGGTCGCGGGGTGGGTCGTGGGGTGGGTCGCGGGTGGGTCGCAGGTGGGTCGCGGGTGGGTCGCAGGGTGGGTCGCGGGGTGGGTCGCGGGGTGGGGGTCGCGGGTGGGTCGCGGGTGGGTCGCGGGTGGGTCGCGGGGCGGGTTGCGGGTGGGACGACGACAACAAACAACAACAACAAACAACAACAACAAAACGAATCCGCACCGCGGAATCTCACTTCAGCCACGCGCCCAGGGACAGTGAATGACCGTTCGGCCCCCTCACTCTGATTATTGAGGCCGCGTGTTCAATTCCCGCACTTAATGTGAGGTTCGCATCTTGACTTGTGTTTGGATGGGTTTGGTAATTGTCCAGCGAGGCCCATGCAAAGTTGCCCACGATTGCACAACATCTGTTGTTGGACCCGTCCTTCATCACCCTTCCTCGCGACTGCCAAAAGGGGGGGCCGCTTCAGGAAGAGATCAAGAACTTGATCGAGCAGGTGTTGCAGGAGATGCCTCCGACTAGTGAGGTCGTTCAGCTCGCCCACACGTGCGCCGAACTTGGGGACAACATCGAGAGCGTTTCCCAGCGGCGCCAGAAGCTGCCGGTGGCTTAGCCGTCGGCTTCGAGAGAGTCGGTTCTCAGGAAACCATGTTTCGTCCCGCCGGCCCTGGCCACTCGCCTGCGCGCTCGCCCGGCTACCTCTCCTTTCGTTCCGCCTCTCTCGTTTTGCAGCGCCGTTGTTGCATTTTTGGTCCACTCTGTTTGTCTTCCTCATCTTGCCACTCCCTCTCGTTTTCCTTTTCGCGCTGCCCCATCCGCCCCTTCTCCTCCCTCCCCTTTTCCTCATCTCCCTCGTCCTTCCTGCTTGCGATGCTCGTGGACAGTGGCGCGGCGGGCGGCGGACGTTGGCCACAGCGATTTTCAGATTTTCTGAGTGCGGTGGATCGAATACCATCGCCCCGGCAATTGCGGATCAGAGTGCGGGGGCGGCGGGGTCGTCGGCAGTTTGCGAGACTCCGAGAAAGCCCGCCGCATGCGCTTTTGTGATTCACATTACACAACGAGCCTGCCACGAGCTTTTTGTCGTCAACGCATCGTGGGTGGGTCGCCGTTGGGTCGCGGGTGGGTCGCGGGTGGTCGCACAACAAAACAGCAACAAGAATCCGCGTCTCGTAATCACGCTTCAGCCACGCACCTGGGGATGGCGTAAGACCGCTGGGCCCCCTCCTGATCTCCCCCCGGCGTCGAGGGGAGGGGCGGAGCAAGGAGCACCGCCGTGCCAAGGAAGGACCACATCGGCGAGCTGCAGGGCAGGTTGCGGTCCTTGGCGGAGGCCGTTCTTGCCGCCCTGGGCTGCAGACCCTTCTGGGGCCTGCGTTGGCGGGAGGCATTTGGGAGCACACTTGGCGTTGGGAATGTAGCGTGCGATGTGACGCCACCGGCCTGCTTATTATTCGTTATTCCCCGCCTTGGGGATAGTGTGCACCGAAGAAGCCCCAACAGGAGGATAGCGTGCGCAGAAGGGGCCCTCGCAGGGGGATCGCCTCACAGGGATAGCGTGCTTTTCGCAGTTCGATGTTGCACGCTACATTTCCAACGCGCACCGTACATCGAGAAAGGGAATACAGCGAGGCAGAGAGGAAGACGGTGGAAGATGAGAAATGGATGTGCCGATGGGGAGAGGGCGAGCGTGAGCGGGAGTTGAGTTACCACTAGCGTCTGTGCAGATCGAATGCGCCTAAAGATGATTGCCGTTGCGTGTGTGTGTGTGTGTGTATATGTGCAAGCTGTCGGCTTGTTGGGTAGCAGCACTGTTTACAGCGCACACGCACCAAGGCGATTAGAATTTCGCAAGAAATAGTTATAGTATGAGGTAAGCGTGGGTGGCGCAACCATGCGAGTACATGGTCACATCTTATCTCATGGGAGGCTGATTCCAGTATCCGCTGCCATGGTATTTAGGACAGAACACACGTCCGACATGCTTAGCTTGGGGAGTCTTGTGATAGGGGTTGAATTCTACATGAGAATGGTTATGTTTCCTTAGTTTCGTGCCATCGCTGAGTTTCCTACAGGCGCGGCGCCCGAGATTTGTTAACGATTTATTAATGTTTGCTTCAGGCCTTGAAAACGTAACATTCAATACGAATTGCGTTGCTTGCGGACTGGAATCGGTGTGCACTTACACGGGCGCGTACAATTTATGCATACAGCTGCCTGCCCCCCGCACACACCGCCACTGTGCCAGCGCAGGCAGCGCAGCTGAATGGAGGTTGGGTTGAAGACCCAATCCAGATCAGTGCCGGACAGCCAAGACGCCGAAGTAAGGACAATTTCGGGGCTCGGGAGGGGCCCTGGGCTACACTTAAAAATCTAAGTCGGGGGACCCCTACTTACTCGTGGCCCAGGCCCGCCGTGGCCAGAAGAGCCGCTTCGTTCCGTATGCAGGTCTCCTTGTGGTAGCCCGCTGACTGTGTCTGAGTTGCCGCAGGTGTTGAGCAGCCTGTCCGCAGCCCCGTTGCCCCCGCTTGTCTTTACCCGGGGGGCTGACTCGGGGCGCCCTCGGCCTGGCGGCCTCCCGGGGGAACTGCTGGGGGCCTCTTGAGGGCCAGCTGGGTGCCCCGTTCCAGGCCTGTCGGGGGCTTTGGGGCCGCCTCAGGCGCCCTTTTGCTCCACAGAGCTCCCGCTAAATGCTTCGGTTGAACTCTACAGTATTGGAGACGTCTGAGCGTGTCTGGCCGAGGAGTGGAGCGCGGCGGGGGGACAGGGCAGACGAGTTTTTGTTGTCGGGCCCCGCCGACAAAGGAGGGAGGAAAGGAGAGCGCGGGCGGAGGGGGAGGGGGGGGGGAGCGCGGGAGGAGGGGGAGCGCACACTGAGGGAGGGGGAGCGCGGGAGGTGGGGGAGCGCGGGAGGAGGAGCACGAGGAGGGAGGCGGGGGAGCACGGGCCGAGGGGGAAGCAGCAGTGGGAGGCAGAGGAGCTCATAGGGCGAGGAGGCCCGCGCACCGGAGAGGCTGCACCTCCCGGCGGACCCCTGGAGGTGGCCCCGGGGAGGCCCCCCCGGGAGGCTCCCGAAGGCCCAGGGGCCACGAACGCCCCGGCGCCTCGACGCGTCGACGAGCCGCGGCCCCCCCCAAGGAGGCTCCCGGAAGGCCCGGGCGGGGCCAGAAACGCCCCAAACGCCTGGAAGTCGAGCCTCGATCCTCGATCCCTGGGGAGGCCGACCACGGCGACGCGTCGACGAGCCGGTCGCCCATCGGCGAGGGCGCCGCCGCTGGCGTGGACCGCCAAGAGGGAGAAGGGGTCCCAAGGGGGACGAGTCCCAGGCTGCATGCCTTTCCCTCGGACCAGTTCTTCATCCCCGCCCGAAAGACAGCCAGAGGTTTCCGGCAGCCTTGCTCCTCCTTGGCTCGTTTCCCTCATGCGTCGGATGCCCCACATTCTGGTTGATCCAAAAGGGGGTCCAGCGACAAGGGGATGGTTCAATAGATTTGGTGCGATACATTTCGGGGCGCAGATGTATTGTTGGATTTTTGCGTGCAATGCAACATTTGCAATCCAATGCAATACAGCTCTCCGGCGCAATACATTTGCAATGCAATTGCCCAAAATCTAGTGTTTGACCCCCTTTTAGCTGGACCCCCTTTTGGGTCGACCAAACACATGCGGTGCAGTGACCACACCATCGGGTGAGTCAATGGGGATTCGGGGTGAGCGCACGGCTTGTGAACTTGGGTCGTTTTCCGAGGATCTTTCGGGCGACTGGCGCATCCAAATCCCCAAAACCGTGCGGTGATGGACACCATCCGGTGAGGTCTTCCGGACCCCCGAATGCCAGACGTGGACGACGGAATTGACGTCGACGACGACCACGTTGACGTTGACGTTGAAGACAACGTCGACGATGACGAAAACGACAACGACGACGACGACGACGACGACGACGACGACGACGACGACGACGACGACGACGACGACGACGACGACGACGACGACGATGCCCTCCGCGGCCCGCGAGGAGGCCGAAGCGGCGGCAGCCCCCTCGCCAATGCGCAGCCGCGAGCCGTCCGCGGAGCGCGCCGCGGCCGCGGCGGCCGCGTGGATGGACGCGGCGAACGCGGGCCCAGGCCAGGCCGCCCTGGCGGCAGTCGTGACATGCGAGTTTCCGCCCCCAGTCCTCGAGCTGCCCCCGAAAAACCAGGTCGCTCAGAAAAGAAGGACGAGTCGGTTACACACGTTCTGGGGGCTATTCGGACGCACCCCTATCGAGGATGGGTGCACCCCCAATCGTAAATCCCAGAGTTGAGCCCAAACTTTGAGGTCCAGCCGAAAGCCCACCAAAGTCGGGGGACTGGGGTCGCCATTCCTTTCGTTAGGTTTGGGGGGCGGTCTTGCCTCGGTGCCCTCCGAGGCAAGATCGACAGGATGGGTACGACGACCTTCAGCATTTCCCATTAACTTTGGGCAGGACTCGCTGTCGGTGTCGCCGCGGACGTTGTTCACTTGAGGCAGACGGCCGCCTGGCCAACGGCGGCCGCTGTCGGTGTTGGACGTCATTCTTTGCTTGGGATGGTGCCCGCATCTTCCGTACCCACTTCGGGCGTCCAAAGGTCAGGTCTGGGCAGGGTGACGCCCAGACGAGGCCAGGGGTTGGCGGTCAAGAAGAGGAGGAAGAGGCGGGGGAGGAGGAGGAGGAGGAGGAGGAGGAGGAGGAGGAGGAGGCGGCGCCAGGGTGCTGGGGGGCCTAGATGCTTCGCCCCTCAGGGGGTCTGATGCCGGTCGTGGTCTCGCTTTTTATTCCCAACCCTCCTATGGGTGGGTACTCGTTTTGAATAGAGCACTCTGGTCGCCCCGTCCTCCCGCCCACCTCCCTCCTGCCTACTACCTCCTCCTCGCGGCGCCCTCTGGGGGGCTGCGATCTGCGCATCTGTCGCCTCCTGCGATCTTGCGCAACTGTCGGCACTTTCGTGGGCTCCTGGGAGGCCCAGCGGAGTGGGGGTGACACGCAGATCGCGTCGAGACCTCGCGGCTCCCTGCGGGGGGAGCTGCGAACTGCGCAACTGTCGGCACTTTCGTGGGCTCCTGAGAGGCCAAGCGGAGTGGGGGGACACGCAGATCGCGTCGAGACTTCGCGGCTCCCTGCGGGGGGAGCTGCCAACTGCGCAACTGTCGGCCTTTTCGTGGGCTCCTGAGAGGCCCAGCGGAGTGGGGGGACACGCAGATCGCGTCGGGACCTCGCGGCTCCCTGCGGGGGGAGCTGCCAACTGGGCAACTGTCGGCACTTTCGTGGGCTCCTGGGAGGCTCAGCGGAGTGGGGGTGACACGCAGATCGCGCCGAGACCTCGCGGCTCCCTGCGGGGGGAGCTGCCAGCTGCGCAAGTGTCGGCACTTTCGTGGGCTCCTGGGAGGCCCAGCGGAGTGGGGGTGACACGCAGATCGCGTCGAGACTTCGCGGCTCCCTGCGGGGGGAGCTGCGAACTGCGCAACTGTCGGCACTTTCGTGGGCTCCTGGGAGACCCAGCGGAGTGGGGGGGGACACGCAGATCGCGTCGAGACCTCGCGGCTCCCTGCGGGGGGAGCTGCCAACTGCGCAATTGTCGGCACCTTCGTGGGCTCCTGGGAGGCCCAGCGGAGTGGGGGACACGCAGATCGCGTCGGACCTCGCGGCTCCCTGCGGGGGGAGCTGCCAACTGCGCAACTGTCGGCACTTTCGTGGGCTCCTGGGAGGCCCAGCGGAGTGGGGACACGCTCGCGTCGGGACCTCGCGGCTCCCTGCGGGGGGAGCTGCCAACTGCGCAACTGTCGGCACTTTCGTGGGAGGCCCAGCGGAGTGGGGTACACGCGGATCGCGTCGGGACCTCGCGGCTCCCTGCGGGGGGAGCTGCAACTGCGCAACTGTCGGCACTTTCGTGGGCTCCTGGGAGGCCCAGCGGAGTGGGGGTGACACGCGGATCGCGTCGGGACCTCGCGGCTCCCTGCGGGGGGAGCTGCCAACTGCGCAACTGTCGGCACTTTCGTGGGCTCCTGGGAGGCCCAGCGGAGTGGGGGTGACACGCGGATCGCGTCGGACCTCGCGGCTCCCTGCGGGGGGAGCTGCCAACTTGCGCAACTGTCGGCACTTTCGTGGGCTCCTGGGAGGCCCAGCGGAGTGGGGGTGACACGCGGATCGCGTCGGGACCTCGCGGCTCCCTGCGGGGGGAGCTGCCAACTGCGCAACTGTCGGCACTTTCGTGGGCTCCTGGGAGGCCCAGCGGAGTGGGGGTGACACGCGGATCGCGTCGGGACCTCGCGGCTCCCTGCGGGGGGAGCTGCCAACTGCGCAACTGTCGGCACTTTCGTGGGCTCCTGGGAGGCCCAGCGGAGTGGGGTTACACGCGGATCGCGTCGGGACCTCGCGGCTCCCTGCGGGGGGAGCTGCGAACTGCGCAAGTGTCGGCACTTTCGTGGGCTCCTGGGAGGCCCGGCGGAGTGGGGTTACACGCGGATCGCGTCGGGACCTCTCTGCTCCCTGCGGGGGGAGCTGCGAACTGCGCAACTGTCGGCACTTTCGTGGGCTCCTAGGAGGCCCAGCGGAGTGGGGTTACACGCGGATCGCGTCGAGACCTCGCGGCTCCCTGCGGGGGGAGCTGCGAACTGCGCAACTGTCGGCACTTTCGTGGGCTCCTGAGACGCCGAACGGTCGCTTCACGTTCAAGGTGGGCCCCAGACGGCCCAAAAGGCTTCCAAGACGCTCCAAGAGGCCTCCAAAAGGCTTCATGGGAGGGCCCCGAGAGGCCAAAACCACGAATTTTACTATGGTTTTTGAAGGATTTTGGCCTTCTCGTCTTTTCGGCTTTCCGGAGCTACAGGACGGCTCAAGAGGCACCCAATACTGCCCCAAGACGGCCCAAGAGGCTTCCCAGAGGGCCCGAAGACTGCCCACGAGGCCCCAAGACGGCCCAAGACAGCCACTCTAGCGAAGAGTACCGACTATCGGGATTTGCCAGGGATTCCCGAAAGTTGAAGCCGATGGGATTTGTCGGCAATCGCCGCGCTTGACCCTCAAGCGCGGCGATTGCCAAGAATGCAATGGTCGTCGCTTTCGTGGGCCTCTTGGACCTCCAGCGGATGTTCAGCTATTTCGAAAGCGCCAGTTGATAATGCCACCTGTTGCCAAAGGGTTGGGTACGTCCTTGGGTAATGTTTCAGTTGCTCGGTTGATCACCCCCCGCGGCAATGCCGCCGAGGGGGGGGGCGGCAGCGTAAACATTGACACCGACGCCGTCAGTGCCGAGTGCCCAGGCGGCGCCAGAGGACGAGGACCCAGAGGAAGCGTGGTTGCGATGGCTTGGGCCACGGCGCCCCCTCCGTTTGGACATCTTCAGGGTCAGGTCAATGGCAACGTTCAGGAGAGATAGGCTCAGGGGGCGGCGCGTCAGGGGTACCAGGGGGCACGTTCGGGGGGGAAGCGTTCGTTGGCGCTTGGAGGTTTTCTTGCTTCGGGGTGCTCTCCAGCAGCCGCGCTTCGTCGAGAGCTTTCCAGGGGTGCCCGGATCGTCCCGAACGGCCGTCGGAGACCCGAACCACCAGGCGTCGAGGAAGGGGGCGAGGGACGCGGGATGGTGGTGGATCTCATCAGGGGCAACGTTATGGGTGGACCAGTTCAGGGGTGATGCGTCAACCCTGGTCGCTGATAGCTGACAGCGGCCCGACAGCCCAAACCGCTCAGGAACGTGCGTTGTTGCCGTCGGGGGCCTATCGCCGATCTGTGGGCGATGTGTCGCCGATTCTGGGTCGATGGCTGCTCCCTTGAGGAACCCGAACGCTGCAAACCAGGACCGCCGCCCTGCAGCCACGGGAGCAGTCTTGCCGCTCAGGGCCCCCGGAACCAGCGGGCGAAGACTCCCCGGGGTCCTCTCGGAGGCCCCGGGGGCGGCCTGTTTGGGAGTCGTTTCGAGGTTCCTGGGAACTCTGGGGGCAGCTTGTTTCTATAGATTCTGGCAAGTTTACTTGCATGGAGGGGGGGGCGCGTGGCGATGACCGGACGGAAATATGGTTTTCGCGCAAATCGGGACCTACTTCCTACTTGCACGCTTTTTCGGCCCAGCGCTGTTTGAAGTGGCGGCGGAGGAGTTTGGGGGAAATGCCATGCAAGTGAACTGGCAAGAATCTAAATGAAAACGCGCTCCTGGGGCGGTCCCCGTGGAGCTCTTGCGCGCACGCCGGCCTCTTACATCCGAGCGCATGGTCTCCCAGAGGTCTCCGCAGGTTTCCCGCGGAGGTTGTCTGGCAATCAGAGGTTTGTTGGAATGGTAGGGGGTAACAGTAAGGCTTCGGGTTGCGCGCAGACAGCCGCCCCAGGTAGGCCCGGCTGGCCTCAACAGGCCCCCCGAGTAGTCCCAGCTGGCCTCGACGGACCCACCGAGTAGTCCAGGGCAGTCCCAGCACCCTGGCGCCCCTTCTGGCAGAGCCCCTGGGGCACTCCGCGCCCTTGGGTTGAGATGTTGAGATCGCACCGGAGTGCTTGCGGGGCATGTTGAGGCCAGCTGGGACTACTCGGGTGGGCTGTTGAAGCCAGCCGGGACTACCGGGAGGCTGTCTGTGTGCAAATTGGAGCTTGACCACCCCCACTGAGCTCTAGGCCTCTCAGATGGGGTCTTAATATATGGTGTCGAAGGATCGATCCGCATCGTCGGTGCATCGCCGATGTAGCTCGATGTGGAGCTCGACTGTCTCCACGCTGGCGTCGCCGATGCATCGCTGATGCATTGGTGATGCGGCGCAATCTTCCGAACCCATCTACCCGGACCCCATTCGGAAGGCCTCTATAGAACCTCTTGCGTGCCGAGGCGACTTATTTGTTTCTCGAGGGGGTGTTGCAGCTGCCCATTTTGGGAGCCTTCGTCCGCTGGGTCTGGTTCCAGCTTTCGTTTTCACTGAAAGGGTCTGTTGCTGAAGAGGTTCTTCAACCTCGAAGCAAGGACACTGCAAACCAGGACTTTGCAACTTCCAGCTGGAGCAGACAGAGAATGTAACCCGTTTCGTCGGGCGCGCAAATGTCATGCTTTATTTAAAAAAGCCCCGCCTACGGAGCCCTGACACTGCTGTTGGGAGTGAGGGGGGGAAGCTCTCGGCGGTTCGAGGGCGG